GTAGGAACAGAGCCCTCACACTTTCCTAGCTGGCAAGTGGTCACCAGTGTGCTCAGGGACTGGTTACTCTCTTTTTGGCTTGGAAATGTGCTCGGGTACTGGAGGGTTTGTGCTAGGAAAGGTCTATCTTCCTTTTTTTGTGGCATTTTTTCCTCCATCTTCTCCTAGTAAAGGGATTGGCATCTTTATTTCTTTGACCCTGCCAGCAGGCACATGTTAGAGCAACATATGTACCAAATTTGCAGTGTGCTTAATAAAAATAAGAAATGAGAATTTTGGGGGTTTTTTCTTCATTCAAATGAGTTAAAAGATGAAATCTTCAAAATCAAATGTAATTAAGATTGAAGAAATGCATGCTATTATTTCAAAGATGCCATCGAAACTTGATTGCATATAAAGAAGAGATGGTAGCTGGCCCGTTTTACAAAATCCTGAGCTGTGCTTTTACTTACTTTTTTATACTCAATTCCAATTTACTTGAATGCAAGAACATTCTGTTTGAGTGCCAGGCTGGAGTAGCTGATTTAGCAGGGCGAGTATGAAATGAGCTTGGTGCAGTGGAAGTGGGACATTCTACAGGTAATCAGAAACTCTGTCTGTCTCAGAAACTCTGAAGTCTAAAAAGCTGAATCTCTGGATTTTTTTTTTTGTGAGATGCTGAAAGCATATTTTTTCTGAAGAGACCAACTGTAGTGGATTTAGTGCTAATTTAATGCAATTAAAATTTAAAATGGATCCATAATCTGAATATAAAAGAGTATGCTTTATTGAAGTTGACTCTGAACTCACAATAGGTATATACTTTTAAATCTGGTTTTATGATCATGTTTCATTCAAGTGCTGTTAGACAACAAAGGAATTATGTTTCCAAAAAAAGGTTAACAGTACTGATTAGCATTGCGAAGTCTGCATTTAACAAGATTAGTTTTTAAACTAAACCAGTATATTTTAATTTTTTATATGCATGGATTTAACGTACATGGTGAATAACATCTCGTTATAGAATTTTAAGTATTTGAGACTCGTTATTGTTTAAAGAAAAGTTGCTGACTTCATCGCAAGTGTAGCCTAGTAAAAATGGGGCCTGGAATAGTAAACTGTTGCAGAGCTGAGGCAGAAACTGGTAACCTTCTGACCTCTGACTTTTACTGGAAAATGATATGCAACATAAATTCAGGGGGCCTTTTTTCTTTCAAGTATGTATACATATATATTCTAGTGTTGCTGTTCACAATGCTATAGTTGAAGTGGTGTCAACTTGTTCGTCAGAGCCCCTTGCTTTTGGAGCAAACTTTAAATCCATGGGGTTTTTTAAAGGCTGAAAAAGCTGCTTCAAAAACAAGCTTTGAACTAAAATGTGATGTTTTGAGAGGGTTTTTGTATTCGTTTAGAGCTGTTTTTTTATTAGACGGATGTGCCTGTGTTTATGTGGATATGTGCGTGGACAAAACATCTGTGGGGAGGCCACAGATGCCAGAATGCTCCTAGAACTGCGTTGGAAATTGAGCTTAGTTCCTGGTGTACTTTTAGAGATTTTCAGACTTCATTTTCTCCTAAATGTTGCATTTTAGTAGTCTGGAGTGCTGGTCATACCTGTTGTCTTATTGCCATCCTGATCAGTTCCGAGCAAGGTGCATGCTGCAGCCTCAGTCAGGAAGGGTTTTCTAAAGTGAGTTTCAAGCCTGAGTCCTATGAAGTATCCACAGAAAGACTTGTAAATGATGCCTTAGTCAGTTCTGAAACTGTTACCCAAACCCCAGTGGTTTATTGAGGCTAGAATTGCTGCCAGTGCTTGATCGAGTGTTTTGTGAAGAAGGCTTGTTGCATTAAAACTTTGGAGAAGAGTAACAAAAGTGGGAATTTGATAACTGGAGCTCTCAGGTCAAGTTTGGGAAAGGAATTTTGGAAAAGTGATCCTGTCCTGGGGGGGTCTCTGTTACCAAGACTTGACTTCAGGCCACTTGTCACCTTCGGAAATTGGCATTTTGGCATTGTTTTTGAGGAACAAGAATGTGGTAATGGTAGTGGTGGTCTTGCTTGAGCCTTGCTTTATGTCTTGTTTACATGAAATGCTCTGAAGGTTGAAATTATGGGGGAAGCTCATTTCTTTAAGCACACCCATGCCTGCATGTACACATTCTGTTTAAAAAAAAAAAAAAAAAAATCCCGAATGTGATTTCCCTATGGGGAAGAAGTAAAAAATTATGACGCTCAAGGACCAAAACAGAAGAGAACAAAAAGATAGCAAATATCCTGCCTCTCCCCAACTGCATTCAATTTCCAGATGCTGTGATTTGGTGGCTTTTTTTCTGTGTCCTGATGTTAGGAGTGCAACACTGTGGTTGAACCCCTGTGTTCACCACTGCTGGGCGCTTTTCTTGGCAGCAGAAGAAGCCAGCATGGTACTGCCATAGCAGCCAGGTGCTGTGGAGGGGTGGCAGCAAAAGGCTGGGGACCCACATGCTCATGCTTGCAAGCAAAGGAGTTAACTCGAGATGCATGCATTGCGTGACATATATTCAGTATATTATGGGCTTCCCTATTTTTAGGAGTTTGTAAAAGTTCCTTTTGGTTCGTTCCATCTGTCAAGATCACGTTTGCCATTAAAAAAAAAAAAAAAAAAAAAAGCAAATCTGATCACCAGAAATAAAAGCCTCTAAAACTGTCTGGCTTCAGATTGTTCTCACAACCTAGTTCCCTTGTTGGGATAGGTAAAAGCACCTTCTGACCATATTTGCAACCTCGCTGAAAGTATCACAAGGATGTAAATATAAGCTTTGCATTTTCAGAGAGGCACACAGACTGGAAAACTTAATCCTTTAGCAAGACTTTTCTCCTTAGTACTTAACCCAGAGTATGTTAAGGTCTATTTTTGGACTTTTGGGAGATTTTTCTCCTTTACCTTATTCATCACTACAAATCCTGCAAAGTGTATTTTTAACTTATTTATGTCCCAGTGTACAACACCCATCAAATGACAGCCTTTGAAATCAGGAGAGACGGTCTTTCCTGTAAACATTTTAAAGTCTTTTTAAATGTATTTACTTAGTAAATAGTAATAACTCCCAGCTGCTTCCTTCTATTGCAGAAATCCATATTTAACTGCTAGGGACCTGTTCTGAGGTCTCGTGCCACTGAACAGCAGGATATGTTATTGCATAGTACGTTGACACAACCTCTTCTAAGGGCCTCGTATTGTGTCATCATAGGGGATAGTTATAGTACAGGAATGCAGAATAATATTATGAAAAAGTTTTCCTGTTGCTCTGAACTTAACGGGAAAGGCCTTTGGAGGTCTGTGAGAGATCTGATTTTACATAGTGGAGAAATAACTCACAAAATTCTATTTAAAAGAAGAGAAGCAAATTCTTAATAGGCAGGTGATGCTGAGCTCATGACAGCACTATTTTATCGTGCTTGTTTCTTGTAACTTCAAAAGATTCCTGTTTGGGATATTGGAAGATCTATTTTGTTTGTTTTTCAACTAACGAGATCAGGAAGATGCTGAACAAAGCCTTGGTATAGTCATTTCTAATCCAGAGAGGAGTTCTTTATTTCCCATTTATTTCTCCTGCACAGCTTAAAAGAAAAAGCAAAATAATCCATCAGTGCCACTTTATTTGTCTGTATTGTTTCTCTCTTTTTTTTTTTTTTTTTCCCAAGCCTCAGCCTGCATTGAAAGAATTTTTTTAACCTCCAAATAATTGTTGCTCTTTCAAGCCAGGAGTAGAAAGCAGCAATATTTCTTTATAAAAATGTATCAATGGCTGCAACGGTTTATTTTTTTTTCAAGGTTTTGTAGGAGTTTGAGCAACCTATAGGCAAAAAGGCAATCGGGTTTATTATCGCTGGGAATCTCCAGGCGGTTGTTTGGAGGCTGCAAAGGCAGGCGACAGAGCTGGGAAGAGGGGGAGAGAAGGGCCACATTATGTTCCAGATGACTGAGCAAGGATTTATATACCAGCTCGCCCTTTTTTTTCCCGCCCCCCCCCTTTTCTTTTTTTTTTTTGAACATGGGAGAAGAAAAGTAATAAGAGCGGGGAGGCATTTGAAGCGGTCGGATGGCCGATGACTAATGGGATAGGTGGGCAGGAGCCCTCGGATTGGGTGTCTTAATGAGCACATTTCGCACCGAGTTTGGGCTGCAGTTCCCCTTCACCTTTGCCCTTTATTGACCGAACTGACACTTCATTTTTCACATACTTCCAATTATGGCTGAGCTTAAGTGTCGCCCTGCCTCCTTTCTTTCTTGCCTATGGATGGCTTGAGAGTGGCTAAGGCCACAGAAGATATTTTAATTTGAAAAACTACCATAGCAAGGCAGGTTTAGGGTGTAACCTGAAACTGCTGTCACTTGGCAGTTTCTCCGATGAAAACAAAAGTTTTAATGTTTCTTGTTTAGCGCTTCACCACCAGTCCCCCCCCTCCTTCTCTGTGGTGATGTGCGGAATTGCTTTGGGGGCCATTGGGTTGGTGAGGGGTGTTTTCCTCGGGCTAAATAATTTCTGGCAACACAGGTGTCATGGGTGGGTGTCACCCAAGTAAAGAGGTAAACCCAAATGAAAAGCAGTGCCGTGCTTAAACAATGGCTCCTCTTTCCTTCCCGATGCAGTGTCTTCTCAAATGGCTTCTTGTGGTGTAATGCCTTGCAATGTCCTTTGCTGGATGTTCTCCTTATGGAAAAGCAAAGCATAGTTGTGCTTGTACTTCTCAAGCCTTAGACCAGTGTGGATTTGTTGTTTTGGTAATATTTAATGCATGAATGCAGATTTGAGCGTGGCCTGGCTGTGAAGCTTTGAGAAGTGGCTGAAAATGATGCTGGGAGAGGCTGGTAGGATGAAGAGACAGAAAAATCTTCCGTTGCCCCTTTGCTGTACAAGGAGAACCATGATATATCTCCCACTGCTCCATGATATATCTCCCACTCCTCAAGCCTGTGTGTGTTTCCACGTTGGCTTTTACATGCAGAATCCTTCCAGGGCGGAAATGTCTGTTTGCTT